ACGCGTAAATTGACTCATAAAATTTATTTGAAACAACGGCTTACATGCGTGTCTGTCGAAAACTCTGAAGGTATCTAATGTCGTATACGCTAATATGAAGTTTTTACACAATGAATATTCATTTTTTTTAACTTTAATTCAATACGAAAGATGAAACTATTTCACATCAAGAGGTTGTCGATGCGGAGGAAGAAGAAATATGGAAAAACATGGAAGAAGTGAGACCCAGAAAGAGAAAAAAGATTCAGGCATAAGTAACCATTAGAATTCCTCGATACCATGAATAAATGTTGGGCACTCAGAAAAGTATTGTCAAATATCGCCATGTTTTTTAAAATCCCTTATTAATAAGCCACTTCTTTACTTTGAAGACATTATTCCCCTTAATTACCACTTGATTGTTGGTATGATTAATCGAAATCATGGAGTTGATGGGTGTATCATGAGGAAAAACCTCCTTTCTAATGTCATTACGGAGGGCCTATATGCGAGATCAATGATAAATAGGTCTACCAAACTTTCGTGATCTCTTTTAATGGAATCTGAAATCAAATTTTACCTGGATATCACCTTCGATCTTTCTTATAATTGTCAGCATTCTTGATCTACCATTCCTAAAGTCCGAATAAACGGGCAGACTTTTATTTTTTGTACGGTGTATGAAGTAAGGATATTGTACATATTTTATTATTGGTTCAAGCTTTTGATTTAATTGATTGGATTGTTTCCTATTGTCAATGATAATTGGATTGTCTGCACTATTTTCGTCTGTATGTGTTTAAAAATTAGTTACAAGAATTTCGGTTTGACGATAATTATAATAATAATAAAGTAACATTACAAAGATACCAAGACTATATCTTGAAATTCGATTTTTCTCCGGTTTGTGCTTTGTCACGGAAACGGCTTCGGATAAATTTCTGCTTTTAATGTGAAAAGTTCGCACGAAATAATATAAGGGAAGTGCGCGAGAGAAAGCTTTTGTAAGCATCATTGATAAAAAAGATGTCCCGAAATGCTGAGGATCTTATCTAAAATTTTTTTATTGGTCGTAATCACGTGAAAATATAATGCAATAAAAGATCAAAAAATTTTTTTTTGGTTCGACCTCTTCCACCTTCCCCCCCACTGATAACGAAATGGCCGATAAAAAGATCGCCAAACGGCCGGGCTCACTGACCACGGACGAAACCACC